ATACCAAACTCCAACCCAGAGTACCCCTATTTTTCTTGACTTCGGGGAGGCGATCGACGGCGAGTCTCTTCTCCTCATCAGTAAGCCACCAGGCGCGGGTAGACGTCGGGGTGTCCGGAAACGCGATGAAGCCATACAGCGCAATAGGCAACGTTATGCAGAAGTCGATGATGAATAGCCACCGCCATCCGGGCAGGCCGCGAACACCATCTGTAGCGTACACGTTAGTACTCTTCTAGAAATAGATGATGAAAGACTTACCAAGACTCTTATGAATACCTCCTTGCAAGAATCCAGAGAACATGGTTCCAGCCAAACCGCTGCTAGTGAAGATGGCTGTTCTTTTGCCGAGTTCGTCCTCTCGATACCAACTGCCGAGAATGTAATGACACCCAACAAAGGTTGATGATTCGAATACCGCCTGGAAGAATCGCAAGATCATAATCTGCCATGGGTGGTGAACAAGACCTGTTCCAAGTGTCAAAAGACCCCAAGCAATCATGCAGGCGGGAAAGTAGAGGCGAGGTGGCAGCTTTTGCAACGCAAGGTTGTTGGGGATCTGTCCTAGCACATAGCCTCCATAAAAGACTACTATCATTAGCCACAATCATTGTCAATGAGACGGAAGAACTCAATATACTGCTTACTTGTGTTGATAACGTTTAGTTGGTTGCCTTGGAAGTCAAGGTCCTCTCGCATCCCGCTTACATAGGCATTATTCAGGTTCATACGATCGAGGTAGTTGACCCAATACTAGTAGCTCCTATCAGTCATGTTTGGATCGTTGAAGATTGTACGCGAGGCACGTCTTACCATGAGACAACAAAAGGACAAGATGACGGTGTCAAGCTTGGCGAGAAGTCGCCGTTCAGCGCTGGTCGCTGCAGGCTTACCCCACACGATTTCCCGAAGCTTCGTCAAGACAAACATGGCAAAGGCTTGGTTGACAAAAATTGGTGGGTGTTACTCAAAATCGTTTCGGTAAACGGCTCCTCGAATGGTTTTCCTGGAATGACTTCAATAATTAAAAGTTGATGGCCTGATCAGTCATGTATCTCCTTGACTGTCTCGGGCTTGCGGTGAAGCTCGGGTTCTCCACTTCTGTGTCGGATTAGAGCGCGCGCTATCTTCCGGTATCTCCTCACATCACATCGCTCATGCCACCACCCAGGATGCGATTAGCCGGGGGCAGTCGGAGACGAGCCGCTATCAAGTCGGCGTACACACCAGAGTATCGGTAGCACAGAATTGAAGGTTTCGGGTTAACCCGCCCTGTTCGCCACCTCGAGGAGCGTATTAGACGTCCAAGGAGACACCGCAATCTGAAGACAGACCGGCAGCGACCAAATCATCCGTTGAGCCGGGAGCGCACATCACCAACAAACTAGAACACATACCAAATTAGCACAGTCAAAATGCTCGATATTACCGTCACTGGAAATCATCACGAGGTGAGTGTTTCCCCTGACTACTTCGGGGGTTTTCAAGTGATTAATCTGAATGCACACGCAGATTGGCTTGGCAGTTGGGCAACAGGCTGCAACACAAGTTGCTGGGTCCATTGACTTCTACCGTGTGTTGTTCAAAGCTTTCAATGATCTGGAATGGTCCACTGTCCGGGAGCGAACGCTAGAGTTCGTGCCTCATCTCAAAGCCAAGTTTCCCCGCTACTACGAAGAAATGGAGGGAATTGCAGAGGGTGCCGGAGTCGCCATTCTCGATGTCGTTGCTCTGAACATACGAAGTGAGATCGCTTTTGGGCTTTTTGAGGAGAACTCAAGACGGCCCATGGCGATCGCCGCGGTTGATGCAGCAGTGGACGGATGCACCACTTTGGGCTGGAAGACCCCCGGCGGATCGACCTTTCTCTCACAGAACTGGGACTGGAAGAGCAAGCAGAAGCCCAATCTAATCATCTTGCGTGCCAAGCCACGAGGCGTACCGGACATGGATCTGCCTGCTTTCCAAATGATCACCGAAGCCGGAATTGTTGGGAAGATTGGTTTCAATGAGCATGGTGTTGGATGCTTGCTCAACGGCATCCGTGCCAAAGGCGTTGACCCGGAACGTATGCCGATCCATTTTGCCCTTCGTACGATTCTCGAGTCCAAGTCAAAGAGAGAAGCATTGGACAAGATCGAAAGCGTGGGATTGGCCGGAAGCAGCCACATTCTGCTGGGCGACAACACTGGTCCGACTGGTCTTGAGTGCACGAGCACTGGACACAAGGAGTTGCCGGCTGATGGACAAGGTCGTGTTGTGCATGCGAACAACCTGATTCTGGAGCACGAAGGCGTGTTTGAGCCACTCTGGCTCGAAGATTCACCGAAACGTACCGCCCGCATGCAAGAACTTGCTACCCCTGAAGTTGGCAAGAAGGCTGGCTTCGATACTTTGCTAGAGTTGTTCAAAGATGAACAGAACTTTCCGGCATCCATAAATCGGAAGCAGTTTGGAAACAACGACTCCAACACACTTTTCAATGTAGTGTACAATCTGACGGAGAGGAAAGGCGTCATTTCAATGGGGCGAACAACAGAGATTGAGGAGCAGATTGAGATTGGATTTTGATTTTGTAGTTTGTAGCAAGTAGAACAGTCAGGCTGTAGTCTAGTCGGCCACCTCTCGGGTCGGGCGGCTACAAGCAATCGCTATCATCCCGAATGATTGTCTCTGTATCATAGCCACTCTTTAGTTTCACGTACGCGATTGAACAAGCTCCGGGATGGCGAGATGGAGCCTTCAAGTATCAACCGAAGTCGCAGTACTTGGTGGCGGAGCAATGCGGTCCCAAAAAGCCCACATAGTGTTTCCAGAATTGTGCCCGCGAACAGGGTGAATTTTGCCGTAGTCTTTTTGCGGGTAGGGCTGCGTCGTAACTAAGGACCCAAGCTTCATATCTGTCATGTCTTTCTGCAGGATCGTAGTTCCAGTCGCCTAAGGTGTGGGGAGCAGTTAGCCTGTGCTGGCTTGAATGCCTGAACTGGATGGGCTGTTGAAGTCCACGACATTGAACGACCCCTGACAAGTTTTTATCGTGGCAAAGATTTACATCGAGTTGCGGAAGGAATTTGAGATCTCTGACTGAGAAAGATACCTCTAGTCACTAGAACTAACACCGGCTTGAATGGTTACCCCTGGCAACGTTCCTGCCTTGAACTCGTCGCAAATTTGGGCCATGGTAACGAACTCAACGCCTTCCTTCGTCTTCAAATACTCAATGAATCGCTCGTGCATCAACATGACGTTCGACTTTCCGCTAACCTGCGGGTGACAGCTGACACAGAACACAAAGGTGTCATACTCTCTGTAGAAGAAGTCAAATTGATCCTTCCACTGAACCTCGATGTCGCGTGGGTTGACAAATCCATGTGTCCCAGGACGTCTGGTGTAGTTGATTGGCGCTATGAGCGGATGTTAGCAGGAATTCGGAAGAGCGAAAGAGGATTAGACGTACGCCAGTCGTCCACGCTCCATGAACCAGGGATCTCCACCACCTTGGTGGGCTTGTGCTCTTTCATGGGCACCATCCAAGTATCCGGATCTTTGGAGTAGTCGGTGTGCACCAGCGACTCATCGGGAACGTCCGCGACATAGTATGGCTGGCAGTCATGATGCAACATGGAATGGTCATATTCGATGCCAAAGTCCTCCAAAATGGACATGGTCTTGGGACTGACCTCCCAAGCAGGGGCCACCCATCCCTTGGGATACTTGCCGGTGAACTTCTGGTAGACCTCGATAGACTTGGCCATGACCTTTCTCTCTTGCTCTTCGGTCAGAAACCGCACGAACTCGTGCGTGTAGCCATGCAAGCCACTGGCTAACGTGTCAGACTATTGTTGGGACTCAAAGACCGAACTTGCGAAGAAGGCCATACATTTCATGTCCAGCATCTCTGACTTTTGCCATCTGATCAGGGAATGACAGGATGGTGTGACTGGGCATGTACCAGGAAGCCTTGATGTTGTTGTCGGCAAACAGCTTGAGCATGCGGTCGGTGCCGACATTTGCCCCATAAATACCCCTGGATACATCGGTTGCGCCGATTTTAGTTCCGTCCCTGGTATTGATCCTATGAAGTCATCTCCAGTCAGCCGAATACTGTGATCTCTGAAGTTGCAAAATTCATACCAGTTCGCGCATGCGTCAACATCCACAGCGTATGTGACTAAAGCTCTTTTAGGAGGCATGATAAACAGTGAACAGACGGCGTAGAGGAGTTTGAGAAAACGTTGATGCCCGTCGACAAGATAAGAGAGACTGCTAAATACGTATAGGACGAATGTATATTCTGTCACATACTGTTTCTAAATTTCTATATAAGTCACCCTGACTGACCATCCACGGATAGGGGGCCGATAGCTGTCGGAGTTGCGCGCGTGAGTGCGTCACAATCAGCGGGGTTGCTGGGTGGGGCTTGGGCGGTTTAGTCCGACATCCTCATGCCCGAGATGTTCCCCAAACCCTCCGTCGAATTGTATACCCCCGAACCCTGTATTCAAGATAGGATCTGCAATCGCAGGTAACGGGAATGACCTTTGCCGATCGTCTCATGATGTAGATATCATGCCTTGACAACAAAGTTCATCTCACAGGACTGCAAGAGGTGCTAAGATCACCATCAACACATCATGGAAGGCGGTTTCTCTTTTGGCGGACGTCAGATCGCTATCACGGTTCGTCTCCTATCCTAAACTCCTAGAAGTCTTGCTAAGATGGTCTTGAAGGGAGGTTGTTCCGGCACTGGGCTGGCGGTTGCCAAGACACTGCTCGCACTTGGAGCGACCATCTATGTCGCCGATATCTCTTCGCAAAATTCAGATGAATTAAACAGCGAAGAAAACTGCCATGTAACACTTGGATGTGATGTGACAAATCGAGAGGATTGCAAGTCATTCTTGGATTCCATACCTGGCCGACTCGATGGGCTGGTAAACTCTGCGGGCGTTTCGGGCTGGGAGGGCAAAATTGGAACCGACGCGATGTATCAGCGAACCATGGACGTCAACGTCACCGGAACTTGGAACATGGCAACTGAAGCGATTCAAAGAATGATGACTCAAGAAAACATCGAAGCGCCAGGCACCATTCCGGGGTCAGTTCGCAGCGTAGGCCAAGGCTCTGTAGTCAACGTCGGAAGCGGTGCTTCTCTTCGTGGGGTATCTGGGCTGGCGGCGTATACTGCCTCAAAGCATGCTGTTCTCGGCCTAACGCGTGCATGGGCACGAGACTTCCCCAAGATGCGTGTGAATATGGTTGCTCCTGGTAAGCAGCTTAGTGCTCAACCTACAGGGAGTTCGCATGAGAGTTATTGACGATCTCTAGGTGCAACTGATACTCCTTTAGCCGAAGCTACTGTTGCTGGCGCTCCGAAGGATGATCCAAACGTCGTCGTTGGGAAAGCGCAAATTGCGTCCATACCAAAAGGCCGTATGGCGTTTGCGACTGATATTGCGGACGCAATCATATTTCTGTTGTCAGACTGGTCTAGCTTCATTACTGGCCAGTGTTTGCCAGTAAATGGTGGGAATCTGTGAATCCTGTAGAAAACGACCAATCAATCCAAGTGCCAATATCCATTACGTTGTACCCCGAATCTGAAGTGTTGTGGTTTACTTGGTGGAAAATGCAGTCGGAAATAACCGCGCGTTTCGTATTATCACGTCGGCCTGCCCTCCGATAGGGTTGTATCAAAGTCATGTGAAGCCGTGAAATGAGAACTTGTATTCTTCTTTTTACTCTTTGCTCTTTTGAAACTCGGCTTTTTTCGTCTTCTCTTCCTTGGATTCCCAAGATCCACAAACATCATTCGGCCCTTCTCATGGATCACAAACTTACGACTGGAAAGGTCGCCATTGTTACTGGTGCAGCTGTGAGTATGATTGCAGATACGAAAGCTGAAGATTCTGGCGATAACAAGATTACAGTCCGGCATAGGAAAAGCTCTCGCGACGAACCTCATTACCAAAGGATGGCGCGTCGCATGTTGCGATCTGCAAAAAGACGCCGGCAACGCCGTCGCTAGCGAGCTTGGCGACCACGCTGTGTTTTACGAGCTGGATGTTTGCGATTACGACGCCCAGGCGAAAGTCTTCAGCCAAGTCTGGGATAGATGGGGTAGGCTCGACGCCTTGCTGGCTAATGCAGGACATTCAGATCGCGGCTCGATTTACATTTTCGATCACAGAGGCAAAGACGACATAACGCCCAAGCCTGCTCTGAAGTCTATCAAGGCATGCTACGAGAGCTTTCTGTATGGTGTTCAGCTTGCCATCCACTTCATGCGAAGAAATGTAGTGCCTGGAGGACAGATTATTGCGACTTCAACCATCGCGTCGGTTCATCCGCATCAAACGTTCCCTGAGTACTGCGGAGCCAAAGCCGCGGTAGGTTCAAGGTCTCCTCTGCTAGCAACCGCCCTTCTAACTACATCTTGAAAGATCAACCATTTTGTTCGAACAGCAGCGCCGCTTCTGAAACTGGTTTGGTTCCTATTACTATCGCACTATGGGTGTTTGGAATCTCATGTGTGCAATTGCTAACGTTCGCTAGAAAGAGAACATCGCCATGAATGCCGTGCTTCCGGGTATTGTAATAACAGGTGCCGTTCCGCAAGCATCTATCAACGCAACGAAGCCAGAGCAGTAAGGCATCCTTGAAACCCGCGGAGTAGAGACTTACCAGAAACACAGCATCACCCCAATCGAGACAGTTGTATCAGCATACAATCTATGCCTGGACGACTCGAAGTTGAATGGCCAACTAATTGAATGTTCGGGTGACAAGACTATCGTCCTGCCTGTACCGGAGCTGGCCAATGGTGTGACGACTAAAAGGGCTTGTACTGTGTGGGAGCCTCTCTTTGAAGCGAAGCACCATGAGAGATCCGGGTTACCAGATGCAATCCCGTAGACGGGCAGGGGTTATCGTGTGTGATAGATATCACACAGCACTCAGACCTTATCTTGTCACTCTTCATGGATGATAGTAATATTTGGTGCTTCACTGTTGTCTCTATTCTTTGGCTGCGAAGACCTTCTGTGTAGACGTAGAAGGATCTGCTCGTACGAAAGACCGGAAGCCTCCCGGGAAAATAAGTTGAACTTCGGAAACCGTAGTTGCCGTGGTTTCAACCACAACTGGCTCTTCAATCACACCATGTTGCCAACTAAACGAAACGAGCCAGCCACCTTTCGTCCTGACGGCTGTGAGCTGCCCCTGAGCCCAGTCCTTTGGACACGAGGGCAGAAGCCGGATCTCAACTGTGTTGGCATCAATGATGGACGACTGAACCAAGCATTCGAGAATGCCAGCACACCCCCCAAAATTGCCATCAATCTGGAACGGTGGGTGGCTATCCAGCATGTTTGGTAGCGTAGAGTCTTTGAGCAGAAGATCCATGTGTTGTTCACAGCCTTCTGCATCTAGGAGCCTAGCATGAAGATTCAATAACCATGCTCTGCTCCAGCCTGTGTGCCCCCCTCCATGAGCAGCCCTTCTCTCCAGGACGTGCTTTGCCGCTGCAGCCAAGTCTGGCGACTTGGAGGGGCTGATACTCTCTCCGGGGTAGAGTCCGAACAGATGAGACACATGACGATGGCCTGGCTCCTGCTCTTTGTAGTCCTTCAGTCCCCACTCTTGAATCAAACCGTCGGAGTTAATCACTAGAGGCGGGAGCTTTCCAAGGGCCTCTTCCACTCTGGCCCTTAGCGGATTGTCTCCACCTAGAATGTTAATGCTCCATAGAAACTTCTCGAGTGCGATGCGAATGATGGTCATATCTATAGCAGATCCCTCGCATAAGATACCTGGCTCTCCCGAGTCTGAGAGAAATGTGTTCTCAGGAGACAAAGAAGGGTTGGTGACCAAATACCTCCCACAGGCCGAGGGTATCAGGTATTCGAGCAAAAACACGATCGCTCCCTCCAAGACCACAGCTGCTCTTTTGTGAAGGGCATTATCATACTGATATTGCAGCATTTCGAAGATGTCGATACATACCCAAACACCACCTAGAGGCCAGATCGTTGAGGGCATCCATCGGTCGTGAGGGTCTGTGTCGGCCCATATGTCCGTGTTGTGATGAGCACACCATCCTTCACAGCCATACATGACTCTCGCAGTTTTCTTTCCCCTCTCGGCCATTCTTTCTAGTAGCTCGATAACGGGAATGGCACATTCGACGAGACTGCACGGCCCCGCTGGCCAATAGTTCATCTGCAAGTTGATATTGATGGTGTATTTCGAACCCCATGGCGGTGCAAAAGATGGGTTCCAAATGCCCTGCAAGGTTGCTGGCAAAGCCTTGCAGGACTTCCGGCTGCATGATATAAGTAGATACCTTCCATAGTTGTGGTACAACGCGACTAGTCCCGGGTCTCGACTGTTCTTGATTCGTTCGTTTGTGGGCAGATGGCTTGCGTCGGGCGACATCCGCAAACCTGTCCGGTTGAAGAGGCCAGCATAGTCCTGTTGGTGGCGTTCAACCAAGTCACTCCATTGGTGGCTCAAGGCCTTGAGTACATCGTCCACCGCGGCGGTCTCGGGGTCCTCAGTTCGAAATGTTGTTTGAGCACCAATGATTATGTTGCAAGAAGTCGAATTGACTATCAGTGCATTGCCAATGGCCTCCACGGACCCCTCTGCATCGTCGCAAGACACGCCTAACGCTATCGCCAACCGGTTGCTATTGTGACCACCAGGAGTAGCCTTGAGAACTATACGTTTATCCTTGGCGTCGATACTGTCCAGGAACTCGTTCGTCTCATATTCAATCTCGCTAAGACGGTTCAGTCGTACGACGAAACGAATGGCTTCGGACGCAACGATTCTGAGAGCCAGCACATTATCCGGGAAACTCGCAATGGCATCTCGACGGTACGAGACCCCCCGGCATCGATATTCAACGGTCGTCTGGGCTGTTTTGAGACACAGGTATCGGCGATAATCAGTCACATCCTCGACGGCGTGGCCGAACTCGAGGGTGCAAGTGCCGAGAGGTTCATAATGCCGCATGCTCGCAGGCGTCGCAAAGAACGCCTCGCGCACCAGCGACTCGGCCTCGGCGTGCTTTTCATCTCGGATGAGTTGTCGGAGCTTCGGCAGGTGGCGGAGGGCGTCTTTTGGGGTCCTGTCCTGCGGACCGCCGTACCAGACCGAGTCTTCGTTCAGTTGGAGAAGCTCGGTCTGAGTTCGCCCATGGACCATCGCGCCTAGCCGCCCGTTGCCGATTGGTAGGGCCTCAGACCATTCAGATGCGGGGGACGCGTAGTGGAGGAGCAGGGGTTGGGGTTGCTGTTGGCTCTGGCCGGAGCCGAATGTCGAAGAGCCATCTGGACGGGACATGATTATTGGGTGGTTGGTTGGGAACGTCGTGCCGTTATGCCGGTCTCTGGATCTGACGAGTTCGCGAGGGGTCTAGGGTCGCCTGGGCTCTTGGCTTGTCCAGGAAAAGATCCCTCAGTATGCGAGACAAAAGTTTGTCAAGCTGGTGATTTGATGATCAGACAAAGCGTCTGATGTCCGCATCCATAGTCGATGGGCGTTGGAGCGGTCATGAACGATTTTAACCCCAGACAACCCACGAACATGCCAGGGTCCTAGCTCGAAGTCGTATCATTTGAGGAAAATTGGCTCGGAGAGTGTGGGGTAACCGGCCGGCCGTCGCCTCGGAGCCAATCATCACGGGTCAAAGCAGCCCGAACACCCTCATCCCGGGATGGTGTGGTACTGGCCTGATTGAGATGCGTCGCCTACAGCCGCCGGACCAATCATGTGTAACCAAAGCCGCTGCCGGCTCGGTCCAGAGTGGATCTTTGGGGAGAATCTGGAGGCGGATGGACGAGAACGGCAATGTAGTGGTATGCAGGGAGCTTCTCATGTGAACCATGTGGACGATAAAAAGTCTGGGGAGAGCGTCCCTCGACGTGGTTCGAGACTCACCCATCGGAAGGTCATTCCGTGGACACGCAGAGAAAGCATGCAGAAACGAGAATACCACCCTATTTGCCAGAGCTGAACTGCAAGCTCTGAGAGTCTATATATGCGCCAGGCGCCACTGCAACCTGATCCCTTGACCCAGACAGGCGGGCTTCTTACTCATCGGTGCTACTCAACTTACCAAAGTCAACCCTGACCTTGTTTGTGAAGGCTACGGCCCCGCGTCAAGATACTCCCTCTCTTTGACTTGCCTTACCGAAAATGGCGCCGCGAGACGAAGTGGACCACAGCGTGGTCTACCACGATGATGTTGCCGAGGCCAACAAGATTGGGGTTGCCGTTGAAGATGTCACCGCTACTCGAATTTCAGAGGAGGATGTGATGCGCAAGTCTGCCGAAGCTCTGAGTCTGCGATCCAAGACTGGCCTGCGCATCCTGATGTATGTGCTCATCATGGGCGCGAACCAGGCTGGGTAAGGAACAATCAAACACAGACACCGACATGATGATGAGAGATAAAGCTGACTATCGGGCCTGAACAGCTACGGCATCGACTGGGGTGTGATCAGCAGTATCAACTCCAACCCTCGATGGCACGATTACTACGGATTTCCCGACGCCGGTCCCATCATCTCCACCATCAACGCCCTCATGCAAATTGGCAGCTTTGTTGGTGCCCCGTTTCTTGCTACTGCCGATATCATTGGACGTCGTGGCGTCAACTTCGTCGGCAACGCTCTCGTTCTGATTGCTGCTATCATGCAAGCCATGGCCCCTAACCTCGCCTGCCTCATGGTCGGCCGTCTCGTCCTCGGCTTCGGTACTGCGCTGTGCACAGCTCCCCAATACGTCGCCGAGGTCGCGCCCGTCCATCTTCGTGGTCGCATTGTCGGTGTGTTCGGTGCCTTCTTCCAAGTCGGTTCTCTTGGCATCATCGGCATCATGATGGGTCTCACTTCCTGGGAGGGCACCGACTGGCAGTGGCGTGTCGCCTTCTTCCTGCAGGCCGTCTTTCCCCTGATTGTCTGCATCGGCCTCTACACCGTCTGTCCAGAGTCCCCGCGTTATCTAATCATGAAGGGCAAGAAGGAGAAGGCCCGTGAGATGATTGCGAAGTACATGACCACGCATAACGACATCAACCATGAAATCGTCGATATCCTGGTTAACCAGATCGAAGAGTCTATCGAGACTTCCAAAGCCGGTTTCCGGGCGACTTGGGACTTCCGCGTCTTCTTCACGCGCAGCGTATGGTACCGTACTCTGGTGCTTGCCGTATACGCCGTCTTCCAGCAGTGGAATGGCGGTGGCATCATCGGCCTGTACCTCTCGCCTGCGCTGAAGACGGTCGGCATCAACGATCAGCTTGACCAACTGGGCATCAATCTGGGGTTGACTGCCATCTACTTTGTTTTTACACTCTTCGGAGCCTGGATCATTGACTTCTTCCGGCGTCGTACGCTCATTTTCGCCGGCTTGATTAGCATCATCATTGCCCAGATCGCCGTCACCATTACGAGCTGGCAGTTCGACGTGACCGGCGGCCAGAAGTCTACGGCTATCCTAACTGTCGTTTGGATCTACTGTTTCCAGATTTGCAGCGCCTCATTCATCGCCACGATGCACAACCTGTACCCGGTCGAGCTGCTCTCTCTGCCGCTCCGTGCCAAGGGCATGGGTCTCTTCGCCATGTTCCAGGCCATCGCTGCTGTTATCCACAGCTACGGCATCGGAATTGGCGTCGGAAAGATTGGATACAAGATCTGGGCCGTGTACATTGTGTACAACTTCCTGCAGGTCATTGTCAGTTACTACCTCTTCCCGGAGACGAGCAAGCTCAACCTTGAGGAGATTGACAACATCTTTGAGACACCCGGCACGAATCCTGTTAAGCTAAGTATCAAGATTGCGAATGCCAAGAGGGAGAAGGAGAAGCTTGAGCGTGAAACTGTCACTACTGCGTTGTAGCCCACCATTCTGGCCGCCGAATGAGGAGCAGCAAGTTTGTCATAGTCAAACACGCTTTTTATACCCAATTTTGTTTCAGAAACATTTTCAAGCCCTAATATTTGCCGTGTTGTGTTTCTCGTGGTTGCAGTGCAAATTTTCACGCAACCGCTTGTGGCAACTCTTACCAAGTGCTATGAGACGACGAGTCGCCGCAACAAAACACCAAAAACGCCAAAAGTGAAGCCCTCACGAGCTCTGTGATGATGACAAGAGTGGGATTCGAACCCACGCCAATTACTTGACTAGCACCTGAAGCTAGCGCCTTAGACCGCTCGGCCATCTTGCCTGTTGATGTTGTTGATGAGGGACTTCGGAAGTGAGGTTATGGGGCGGATGCCCTAGGTGGGGCACAAGGGTATGAATGGCTGCATTGCCTTCAAGGTACTAGGTACCAGGGGCAGGGATGGTCATTCAAGACCTACCGCAAGTAAGTGACAGCCTGGATGGTAAAGACTATTAAACCGGCCACTGAAAAGCAAGAAAAGCAAGAGATGGTTACAATGGAGGTTGGAACCAACGACTCAAGAAGCCCATCCCGTAGTAACCTATTTTCAAGGGTGCGTCTGAACTCTGTGATAGTTCATCCAATTGAGAGCGAAACTCAAAGTCTCTGTGGCCGAGTCGATGACCGATCATCAAATTGGATTGATAACATTCAATATAACAACAGTTTGTTACCGTTGAAGATTCATGTGAACCTTGTTCAGAAGAGACCGGAAGTGTAGCCTTTACACTCACGGGTACAGCAGCCGCCATCTTCATTCAGTTCGGACGGAGGTTTTGCCCCGACAGTGGGCCACAGCCAGCGGAACGGACCACAATCTCCGAAGTGGCGGCGGCGACCGAGTGACTTTGAAGCAGAATGTTTTGTTTGTTTCGCCCGAGAACCACAAGGCAGGCAGGTAGCAAACGGGTAGACCCGAGCAAGACATGCATGGATCGCTTGTTTTGCGAGACATGACGCAAGTGATGCCACATGTCAGCCGTGGCCAACGGGCGTCAGACCCCATGTCCTCCACTATGAGGTATCTCCAATTTGGGTGCTGTTTGACCCTCTCTATCATTCAGCAACTGGAGACCCCTTTCCCTCCGGGAGGTTCTGTCTTTCTCGTAGCATTTTCTCCTGACACGACCAGACTGCTCCACAACCGGATCTCGATCAGCGCTTGTGCCCAGGCAAGCCCCTGTCAAAGGCCCACAGTTCACTGTGCCTCTATCGCAAGGTCAAGATTTTCCAATTGATGAAAACGCTCCGACTGGACGGATATCCTTGCGTCACTCACCAAAATAATGTGGCTCATCGGTGAGCCTCAACACTGACTTGATCTGCAAGCCATTCTTCTATCTTCAGAGGAAAACAATCGAGAAGTTCTTTGTAATGGCACATCCCGTTCGACGCAGTCGATGACCCATTTCTGATTTACATCACACTTCCCCCTCTGGAGTTGTGGGCCATCCACCAAACTGCCCGATAGTCATGATGACGAACGTTATTCGAATTCAATGGATAAAAGAGCAAACTCGTCCCCTCAAATGTGAAGACCAAGTAACAAACACATCAACCATCATCCTCGCCGAAGCAGCGCCATTTCAGAAGCAATGACGCAAAACGATTTAGAAACTGGAGGGCCCCTCTCAGGCCGGACCTCAAGAGAATCAAGACGCTCGCAAAACTCGCGCGGCAGTGTGAAAATTGGCGACCAGATCATGGCAACCCATCACGGCGAACTTTCGAACTTAGAGGCACACCTGGTCGCAGCCAGCGGTGAATTTGTCGGCACCTTTCTTTGGCTTTGGACTAGCTATGCTGGCCACCTGATGGCAAGGCATCAAGCACCCGAAGAGGCGCCAGAAGGCGGGATGCTTAATACGACTCTCACTTCAACCGCTCTGGCATATGCGTTTCCATTGCTTGCGAATATCTGGGCATTCTACCGGATCAGTGGCGGTCTTTTCAACCCCGCGGTAAGATAGCTATCGAACCTCGTTGCAGATCATGACGAGCTAACTGAAGATGCCCATAGATCACACTCGGACTTGTGGCTGCAGGACAACTTCCTTGGGATCGAGCGATCTTTCTGTTCCCCGCGCAACTTCTAGCCGCTCTGGCAGCTGGTGGGCTGGTGCAGTGCATGTTTCCCTGGGATGTGGGCGAGACCAACACCATTCTTGCCACAAACGTGTCCATCTCACAAGGCGTCTTCATTGAGATGTTTCTGGCATCTCAGTTGATGTTTGTGGTGCTTATGCTGGCCGCAGAAAAGCAGAAGGCAACATATCTAGCTCCAATTGCTATCGGAATAGCAGTATTTGGAATCATGATATGCGGTGAGTACATCGTCATTAAAGGCTTTATTTCCGATAGAGAACACCTCACTGACACATTGAAAAGGTGGCTATTATACCGGAGCTTCTATCAACCCAGCCCGCAGTCTTGGCTCGGCTGTTGCCGGCAGAAGTTTCCCAGGCTATCACTGGATTTACTGGGTTGGTCCTGCCATGGGAGGTGTTCTTGGTGCAATGTATTATCGCTTTGTTAAGTTCATCCATTATGAGGAGGCGAACCCTGGGCAGGATCACGATGGCCAGTTGGAGAACAAAGGCCTCCCGGACGGTGCGACGCTACCTAGGGACATGTAAAGTCATGCTTCTAGTTCATCGACGGCATGGCCTCTTGGGATATCAAAGGTATTCGTGAACAATACTACCAAAGCAGCATCAGCAGAAACGATTGAATCAGTATCTTGAAAAGCGATGGTTTTGTTTGTGACTAGACCCGATTTCAACTCCGAGAAACTAGCCTCATCACGAACACATACATAGCTTATGGTGACTCAAAAACCACCCTAGTTATAAACTTCTCTAGCGGCACATCCCTCTTGTTGAGGATCACATCCATGCAATGCTTGATATGGTTCTCCTCCCACCCCGGCTGGCTCGGCCATCTTGTGCCCTTGAAGGGCGCGCGGAACTGTTTGCGCCAACGGAAGATGCAGTGCGTCAAGTGGTGGCGCATATTGGCGTAGACGACCTTACCGGGCCAGACGAGCATGCTGAGTTCCGTCGCGTTTACGGGGCGCCTGCGCAGCTCGTTGATGGGGACACCATCGGTGGCAGTTTCATCATCCACCATGTATGTCCACGAGCCGTCCGGCTCAGGCCCCATGCGGCGATACTCTGCGGCGAGCTCGTGGTCGATGCATGACGGGTGCTCCCACCGCATATCAAACTCCTCAAACAGACAACCGCGCTCAATGGCATCTGCAGCCGTGTAGCCACAGGAGCGGAAGCAGTCGTGTACGGTCTGGACTGGGTCGTTGGCTGTCCGTTGCTGCTGGACCGCTTGGGAAGCGCGGCCAAAGAGGTCTGCCACTCCGACAGCGGCGAGAATGGCAACCGTCATGATGCCCACGAGCCTCAGAGGACCAGGCCATCTTCTCTTTCGCCGAAGCCGGCTATCATAATCTCTATCATCGCCATCGCCATCTTTCTCTGCGCATTCGTTGTTTTCGAGTCTCGAATCCTCAACTGACGGATGAGGATCATCGTAAAGTGGCATCTGCTGCGAGGGGACCCTATCATAGCGTGTCTTTCCTGTGGTCGCGGCTTGTAACTCTCTCACGACGCCTGCCATCTTAGCTATCTGACTCATCGTAGTAGAGAAGGGTTGGGCGAGGACAAGAGGTGTAAAGGTGTCTGGTAAAACGAAGATGAGTACCTGAGCTTCAGTAGGTTATTCGGGGTGAGGGAACTTGCGGGGATGGGTCACGGCAGGGTTGATACATATCACAAGGGGAAAAGAACTGGAAAGAAGTAGATTGCTGACAAACCATCTGATCCAGCTAGTTGAAGTACAGATACAACTTCCCAATAACTCAGTTGTCGAGGAGTGCATCAAGGCTGGTAGCCGGTGCGAGGGGTTTCTCACCTTCTCTCGAACCATTGTTTGAGTCGCACGTTTGCACCTTGCCTTTGTAACTGTGGATAGTTCGCTTCTGTTGGTAGACGATCTGAATGGAAGTTGCCGTTGCGGAAGTGTAATCGTCGTGCCGGTCATACTTTACACTATCAACCAACCTGCATTAGTGTTGAGTCTGTATTATAGCAAAAATGACGTCCCATTGGGCTCTTCGGTCTCGGTCTTAGCAAGTGATGGAACGAGCCGTCCGGGTATTCGGGTCTAGTACTACGTACATGGATGCTGGGGTCGAGTGAAGGAAAAAACGCCCGATCGGACATCGGACCGTGTAGAGCTAAAGTATATCCCGACCTCCGCAGTGAATGGGATGTCCCCTCTAGTGGAACGCTGAGAAGAAACACAGAACGCGTAAACATCAGTGTTTAGTGATACAACTGATGCGAGCTCATTACTAGGTATGTTTGCAACTCTTCTGCTTGCACCTGCCGCAAGGAAGAACCGAGGCCTCGGAATAAGCTTGTAGCATGCTCCTCAATTCTTTCGGATTCCATGATAACATGGGCCGCCTGTCTAATGGGTTACCGCATTCCCCAGCCTGGCATTCGGCTCGAAGTTAAAAGGTGGCACAGCATTCTAATTGGCTGGGGACATTATTTTGGAATAGTCAAGTTGAATCTCTCACAGTGCATTGCTATGAATACTCAAGGTAAACTAGTCTTGTGATCTACAAGAAGAATACTGCGATATCTGACGACTCCGTCTCACGCAAACAGCTTTCCTCCGGTTTAGTGGTGCGGGCCCGGACTTGTAGACCAGTCAACAGGACCTATGGCATTGCGAACGTCAGCAAACGTCAAGTTTTAAATTGACTTTGAGGAACATATGGGAGCCATAGGGTTCGAGAACCTACCAAAATGGGGATGAACTAAGTTTGCCTTTTTGATGTCATACCAGTGCTCCTTTGACCACTGGAAAACGTTGTCCCAGTTGACACACTCGTGCTCGACATTGAAATTTAGCCACGGCTTTGGGTGCCAATCAATCCAGTTCGAGGTGAGGACCGTCACGTCGGCACGACACATGACAGCCTGGCGTAGCTCATCGATGCAGTGGTCAATGTGCATGGGCACTAGCTCGCCCATCTGCGATGACAGCATGGGCTGATACGCCGGGTAGAGGTCCAGCGTGTAGCCGATCCGTATCATTCTCTACGAGGGCATGTCAGGGTCAGCCATTTAAAATGAAGGAAGATTTGAAAGACGGAATGTTCTTACCAAGCAGTGCAGGTGATGGAAAATGTCGAGCATGCCGGCGTAGCCTCCCTTGCCGTCATTGATCTTCACGGCTGTACTTGCATCCCTACCCATCTTGGTAAGTTCGTCATCGTCGACGCGAATATTTATCGCTGCCGGACGTCAAATCAGCACTGATGTCCCTTCGTTCTTTCCGCTGAATAATTAGTATTCTTACCGCTCAGCAATTCATCCCAGGCGTCTTCGAGTTCGGGTCTTGGGTCACCTCTGAACCGGGTCGTGTCGTTCAGCCCTGCGTGAAACTTGGCTTTTTCCAATACAACAGCCTCTTTCGCGGGGGCTTAAATGATGTTACACGCAGGTCAGCTTTATGGACCACTTGCTGACGCGCGGGGAGACACGAACTGTAGGTGAGACCGCCGCAACGACTACTGATATAGCGATCTTCTGCTGAGGCGAAGAGTATGACGACGGCTGCGATTAAACCGATGTAAACCACGTCTTTTGTGCCAAAATCAAGCCATCGAAACAAGTTCCACTGCTGCCATCTGTGACGCCGATTCGTTAGTTTCAACTTTTCGGTGGCGTGCTCCGCTAACAACGAGCTCGTTGTCGAATATGACGATGCCGCTTGTTCTTCGTCAATGGGAGAGAACGGGAGGCCGTGTCCGTTGTCATTGTTTCCATTCTTTCTGTGGCTGCTGTTGAACATTTTCAAGGCTGGCAAAGGAAACATCTTCTTGTTGCTGGTCTCGTTGTTGCTTGACACCGTAGATTGACAAGGGAAACGCCTATGTTTCGGACTAATCAAGACGGTACGGAAGCGCAGGGGGGCTTTCAGCAAGTGTATGTCCAGCAGAGACATTCCGGGTGGCCGTGAGTCAATCAGTCATTAGAAGCCAAACACATAATCAGCATCCAGCAATAAGACAAGGAGAGTGAAACCTACTCATGGAGACTAGAATCTTCGGGTCATGCATCCTGGTTCCCAGACAAGCTTACTAGAGTCAATTCAGCTGCGAGACTCGCATTTGCCCCGCTAATTGTGATGATAAATGCCTACATATTTGCTAATGCTGACCTAGATGTTTGCTATGTCTGGCTTAGCGGCCCTAAATTTCACTGTAGAAAGTTATGGTTGCGCAGTAATTCGCCAGGCTAGGCGGCTATGCAGCCCTAGAAGATATAATAGGGCGGCATATTCCTATTAGGAACTTTATTTTGTTAGATTGCGGAATTCAAATAGCAGTTAAGTCAAACTTTATGCATATCATATAGATTAAAAGTTAGTAGTGTTAGTGTTAAGGCACTCTAGGGGTCGTAGAAGGTAGGGTGCAAAAGAGGGGTAACTTATGTTATTGTTGTTGTTATTATTATTATTATTCTATTTTTTGACGTTAGAGCTAAGCTTAGATCGCTCCCTAAGGTATATATTATATAGGGTAAGCCTATATATCTATAAATCTACTATATATTATTCCTGCTCCTTAAATTAAGTATCTTTTAGTTAATTACTTCCTTTTGTAATAGGGTAAGGGAGAAAACTTATCGATCGTGCTAGGCACTCTACTCTAGGCAGAAAACCCCTGAAAATGCCTAGATACTTATATATTAATTTTCTAGATAACTATAAGAGATATAAAAGTAAATATATAAATATAAACCTAACTAAATTATACTTTATTTATATTTTTTACTCTTTTTATACTTTAAGTTATATAATCTCTTAGGAGAAAATAAGTTATTAAGAAGAAGTTTAGTAGTAATATCTTTATAGTATTCTACTTTATCTTTATTTTAAATAATTAAAGAAGTATAATAAGGATTAAGAAAAGAGATAAAAGTAAAGCTAACTAAAGCTAGAAGTACTTAAAAATACCTATATTTATTTAATTTTTAAAAAATAAGGATTAATAAACTTTTTCTATAAACTAAGCTAAAGAATCCTAAAAACTCTTCTAAAAGAGTAGTTACTAAAATTATTAAAAAAAAAACAGGAATTTATATAAAAATAAGTATATTTCTTACTTATTTACTTAGTTTTTTTTATTATAAGTTAATTAAGCCTCTATCTACTTATATAACCCTTTTCTTCTTATAATAACACCTAACGCCTATAAAAACGCCTATCTACCCCCTTTCCTTTAAGTTAAAATTACTAAAAAATTCTAAGTTTTCTACCTCCTTCTACTATATATAGTATTTCTAAGTTTAGAGGCTACTTTAAGCTAAGAATAATATAAATATCCCTTATTTCTAGCTTATATCGTCTAATTAAAGCTAATATTATAGAGGTTTAAGCCTTATTATATTAAAGCTAATATTATTATAAATTTTAAGTAAGGAGCTTTTAGTTAGTAGCTAAAGCTAAAGTTTAAGCTATTTATAAGCTTCTAAAGAAGTAAAATTACTTATAGCTTATTACTTTTATTAAGAAAACTAGGATTTTCTTAGAAAAATTAGTAAATTAATTTTTATATTTTCTTATAGTAATTTAAATTATTTAAGCTGAAAAATTAAGGTAGAATAAAGTATAATAGAGTTTAAAAAGGTTATTAGCTAAAAGGTTTATATAAATAGACTATTTAGTAGTTTTAACTACTAAAAAAACTTATAATTTCTTTAAACTTCTTAAATTACTTTAGATTACTAATTATAGATCTTTAGTAATACTTAAAATCCCTAAATAGAGATAAATTTAGTTTATTATTAATTAGTAGCTAAAGTTATTAAAATTTCTTTAAATAAATTAAATAATAGAATATTATATATATAAAGGATTTCTATTTTCTATATTTATATCTTTAAATATCTTATTACTTCTAAGTAAAATATTTATAGTATATTTTAAAATTACTATATTTTAAATAAGTAGTAATTAAGTAGTATAAAAGTTTTTATAAGAGCTTTAGCTTTAGAGGGTATTAAAATACTAACTAAAAGTTATTATAAGTATAATATTAAGGTTTTTTTTATATACTACTACTCTTAATAATACTTTATAATTTTCTTCTATACTAAATATTTTATAATAGCTATTATAGCTAATAAAATAAAGTTAAGAAGAGCTATTAAAGCCTTTTATTTTATCAATATATCTACTAACTTATTTCTAAAAATATCTTTATAACTAAGAACTTAGTAAATAAAAATAGAGGAGGTTACTAAAGTAATATACTCTTTAGTTTAAAGAATAATTACTTATAAAAATAAAAGTATATTACTATATCCTTCTAAAGTATTAATAATATTAAGGTTATTAATATAGATATAAATTATACTTATTAAGCTTTATAGCTATATTACTATATAAAGCTTAAAGTTTATAGCTTTAGCTTTAGTATTAAAAACCTTAATAAAGCTTAAATATTAAAAGCTTTATATAAGGAGTATTTTAGCTTTCTTTTTCTCTTTTTTTTTACTTAAAAATATAATATAGCTATAATTAATATCTTTAAACTT